GCAACGGACCACAATAAATCTACACGAATCGGACGAACGTTGACGAAAAGGGAGAAGAATCGTCAAACCAATTTCCGATGTAGGATGTACGAATAAGGAAATTTGTAGCAAGGGCAACGTAAATTGGTACTTTCTTGGCTGAATAAAAATTGGAATGACGGGAGAAAAGGAACAAGCATAAGTTTTGAGAAAGGGTTGGGGTAGAAAATTGGTTGAAATTGGTAAAATCGGAAATATGTCGCACATCACCAGAAACCGATTAGTTTTAGAGCCAATGTGATTACCATTCCCAGCCATTAAACGATATATGCAAAAGGCTTTTGTCAATGTCTGGTTATGTTACATTGCGTTCATTTCGACTAGATGGATAGAAATTGTCGCATTGCCAAATTCGAGCAGTTTTGTAAGAAATAGGTATACATACTAGTTTCATTATTTCATATCAAACCTTGTTTTTTACCTTGTGTAACCAAATATGGATAGTAGGGAAACTGTATTAAGTTTAATATATTCGGATAGTTTAGAACAAATAATATGATACATATATGCATAAATAATGTACGAGTAATATGCGAGTCGTTATATTGCTTACGTAACCAATGGATTCGATATGAAGATTAATTAATTAATGAACTATAAATAATAGAATTACAATAAACTTCTATTATTAGAGCCAAGCAACTATACCATGCTATCGTATATTTACGCACATATTACTATTCTTATCATAATCAGTACCTCTTACGCGTCACATATGATAATGATTACATCACTTTATAATGTCACCATCACCAGAAAGTCGAACAGCAAAAACAACCGGGAAGGGAAATTCTATAATTCCGAAGAATTATAGAGTATCGTATGATACGAATATCGGCATTAATTAATCAATAACAAAGATCACCTTTTTGTGCTTCTCTATCATCACTCTGTTGTTTCATCATCATCCTACAATAGACTTTTCTTGTCCCTCTTTTCTTGTAAAACAAAAAGACATACGCTGATCGACTAGCACTCAAGTAATCAATTTGACAGTGTCACAAATTTCGTAAATAGAAAAATACGCGAGATGAGTAATTTATCTTAATATAACCTTGTGTTTCATGATTCTTGAATCTACAAAAAGATTTGCAGTTTCTTTTTTATTAATTTGCCCGATACCGTAAAAGGAAACGTGCAAGAAACAATCCATGGAATAAGATATGATACGAGTAGCTGCGTATCCAAAATCATTTCCCTCCCCCCTTTTTCTTCAGATTTACTGATACAGTAAGTACCCATTCTTAATACATTAATAATGAATGAATTACTTAATAAAGTTTTTTTTAAAAATGAACTTTTTCCCATTCAATCAATCCACATCTGTTTCAATTAAACTAAAAAGTAAATGTGTAATCATTTCACATAACCGGGCTACATAACATAACCATTCATTATCTGTCATTCTTACACTTGCTAGATACTAACCTTGTGCCGTTCCTTTCCGATGTCATGAATAATGTTATTGTTCTTTTGTAGTGGCAATTCTCTCATGGTTACCGTAAACTTTTCTCTATTTAGACGAGATTTAATTAATAAGGTTTTCTTCCCCTCAAATAGGTTAGAACGAGAGATATGACGCGTAACTAAATTAAAAGAAATCAGGTGATAATGATATGATGGATTGCAGTTTAAGGTAGAGAGATTGATAAGTGTATTTACAAGGCGGGAGATACAAGGCGGGAGATACAAGGCGGGGGATACAAGGCGGGAGATACAAGGCGGGAGATACAAGGCGGGAGATACAAGGCGGGAGATACAAGGCGGGAGATAAAAGACGGATCGAGATTGTCTGTCAAATGAGACACAATTACGTATTATTTGTTTAAAGAACCCAGGGTATATGAGAGAGTGTACAAGTGCAAGTGTGTATATGTACAAGTGCAAGTGTGTATATGTGCAAGTGTATGTATGTGTATAAGTGCGTATGTGTATATGTGGGTATGTGTGTATGTGTGTATGTGTGTATGTGTGTATGTGCGTATGCGTATGTGTATGTGTATAAGCGTATAAGTGTGTATGTACAAGTGTACAAGTGTGTATGTACAAGCGTATAAGAGGACATGTGCGTACATGTGTATACGTGTGTAAGTGTGTGCAAAGTGTAAATGTCCAAGTGTATCCAAGTATGGTGTTCACAATTATGATAGCAGATAATCGTAATATAATTAATTGGTAATGCGCATAGAGTCAGGTGCTTGGCTATCTGGTCATCGAATACCCACGAGTGCGTGTACTGGGGTGTGAGAAATTTACAGATATACAAGTGATGTGTACAACAATCCAAATAAATAATAAATAATAAAACAAAAAAAATAAGAATAAACAAACAAAACCAATAAATAAATAATTAAGCACGTATAGAATATAAATATTTATGTATTCAATGGACACTTTGCTGATTGTTAACTTATTACCGGAAATGTCAATGCTGTGTTACGATTTCATTGAATCATAGCGTAGATCATCGGTATGTCAGCAGTCTGGTTTAATCTCTTTTCCTTTACCCCCCCTAATAATTTTTTTAATCTTTGAATTTACAGTCAGATTTCGATTTGATGCCGAAATGTCTAATTTATGTATATCATGTTTGGTGTGTGAGTAGAGAGATCTGCGACAATTCTGTTACATGTCATCATGTTGCGATTGTTACTCATGTTGCTCTATTCCGTTCCATGCATCGCATTGTCATTACACTTGCCATCACATTATACTTGGTTTTTATCCATTGGCCGAAAATATTTATGGTTGTGTTTAAGCTTTAGGTGATGTATTCCTTTTATAGCTGACGCATGCTTAATTAAGCTGTTTGGCAACATTGAATAATTGTATATCATTATATCAGCCTCAGTTGTATATTTTTAGTAATCTTTACACACATCTGAGAGAGAAAGAGATGGAAGGAAGGGGGACGGAGCTGTTTGCGGTGATTGGATGTGCGTAAATCAATGATATGGATATCAAACAGGTCAGGCATATTGTGAGTACATATTTGAGCATCAAACATTGTAACATAACATAACATACCACATAGTAAGAAACTTACGAACACATAGTAAGAAACTTACGAACACATAGTAAGAAACTTATAGCGTAAAACATAGTAACTTGCAACATAACGTAAAACATAGTAACTTGTAACATATTATCATATCAACATATCAACATATCAACATATCAACGTAACTTAACAACATGATAATGATAATGATAATGATAACGTAACAACATAATAACGTAACTTAACAACCCATAACACAAACCAAACCAAACAAACCAAACATAACATCACATCAGCATAACATCACTCGCAATGTAAACAATTAATGAAATGATTTAATATAATCCTTAATAAAGTAATTCGATGTGTTATTTGTATATTTATTTACTTACATTAATACCATCCGTCAATTAGTTACGGGGTCTCATCTCATTTGGTAAAGCGGTTGACGATCAAAAACTATTGAAAAGCAAATTCTGACATGTAAAACCAGACTTTTTTTGATTACTCACGATCCTGCTTATCGGATGATGAATCTTAATTTAAAAAATTCAATCACTTTTCGCCATCAGCCAAACGACTAGTATATATACGACGGTAGACACCCTCCCCCCCCTCATTTCTTTGTCGCAAAAAAAAAAAAAAAGACTCGAGTCAAAAATATATTAATCTTAATAAAATAATCTTCTTCTTACTATTTCATTACTTTTAATTACCGTCTATATATAACGTTTCATACAACCCGCTACATAACTTGTCCACAACTTGTCCACAACTTGTCCACAACTTGTCCACAACTTGTCCACCTTTACACTCTAATACTCTTTACCAGACCGCTACTCGTTTTATCGCCTGTGGATTATAGACTTGCCGGTAAGCTGTTGTAATCCTGTTTAATTTGTTTGTTTGTGGCTGTTTGTGCACTATACTATCATATATGTATGTATACCTCGTGTTCTGCTTCTCTGTTTCTTAAGAACAACCCATGTTTTATCATGATCAAGCGACAAATGAGGCAACTCGAAAACTGCCATTTCTTTTACGATTTGTATTCTACCAATTGTCAACATACACGCGAATTCCCTTTTTACTTTTTCCTGCTTTTCTAATTCTTTGATTTCTCCATAACCCAACCTTTTCTTCCCCTTCTTTTCTTTTTCTCCCCTTCTTTTCTCTTCTCCCCTTCTTTTCTTTTCTCCCCCCCTTTCTTCTCTTTTTCCCCCTAAACTTCCTGTCCTCTCTACCGGAACTCATAGTATCCATACTCGTTAGTCTTTAAGCGTTACTTTGATAGCTTATTTAAGTGGATTATACATAAGTAAGGGGCGATTGACTGCAGTAATATTATTTACACAACATATATATTATATGTATTATTAAATTAGTTAGTATTGGTTTTTATTGAATTGTGCGATGACACTCTTATATTAATTACATTAATAACACTTATTTATTATTTGTAATTATACAGATATTATTGTTATTACTTTAATTTGTTACTTGATTTTCGACATTATATACAGTATAATTTATTGCATATCATACTTTAAATTTGATATATGTAATGTTTATTTATCTATTCAATCTTTTTATTTATTCGTTTAATTATTCATTCATTCGAATCCCTATCTACTTACTCGAGTATTTATATACTTATGCACACCTCAATTGGCCGTCCCAATTCGCAAACTTTCAACCCCTTTCCCTCTGTCTATAAATAATCCGATTAGGCATCGACTAAACAGCGCGAAAAAAAACTCTTTCATTCCTTGCTTCTACCAACTACTTCCTCTTTCCTCTTTTCTCCCCCCTCATTCGCTTCCCTTTCATCTTTCTTTCCTTTCTCATAATTACACGACTCTAACGACTACCGCATTTATTTTATATTTCGCATTAACACAGATTTTAAACCTTGTCACCATATTACTATTCCATTCAGTACATGGTACAAGCGCATCAAATGCCTACGACGACAATGCCTCACAAACACCACTCTCCTATCGACAAGGAGCATTCTTCTTTTCCTCAGACTCAAATTCATGCCCAGACTTATGCTCACCAGCACACTCTCACCAGCAACTACTCGTCTGATCACTGCAAGCAGCTCCAACCTCAATACCAATCTCTCCAGTCCACCGAGTCTTCAAAGACTTCATTCCCGAGGAGAAAATCATCCATGTTGGAGATCACTAGTCTTTTATGTGATTTTGCCTCTGCATCAATGAACTCTCCGTCTGCTGACTCGCAACCGGAAGACGAAAGCGAAATAATGGACTCGGAACCGATCAATTCATCCTTCATGTTCAGTCAAAATCATGTCTCCAATCATGTCTCCTCCGCTACCCCCGCTTCGTCGCCCCCACTCTCTCCCGGAGATAATGATATTCAACATGATCGTTGCGCGCAATGCTTTCACGAAGCTAAGTATCAGATTCATGACTACTACGCCGACTCGGATGCATACGGTCGTCAACACCGAGAACCGTCTCCGTTTCAATCGTCCGCGCAATCGTCGCCGCCCATTCCGCAACAGCAGAAAATAACTCTTCCGTCCATCAAAACATTGGCAACTGCGGACGACCTGAGATCTGACATGCACCGCGAGCCAAGTCACAGCTCGGCTGCTCGTGATCCTTGCAAACCATGGTCACAAATGCAACGTTTAGAACAGCTAGCAACCATAACGGAAACATACGGTCAGTCACAACCGCAAGATCCCAACAACATTCGTCGTCTGCCTTCGCTGCTTGCTCCTCCTCAAATGAGTGGAAACGTCTCTCCGGTTCAAGGATCAATGACAAAACTCAGTCCCCACTTGTCGGCCGTTCATCAACAGCCAAGTCTCCGTCGGTCATCGTATGACATTTCTCAGTCGAGATATTCACCGATATTATCCGGGCCAAATTCACACTACTCTTCTCGTCGCATGCCACAGCAAGACCAGAGACGACACTCGGATTCTCCTGTGCACGTCGACCATAGATATAGTGACGTCCACCATTTTCATAGCCAGCTTCGTGCACTGCCTCCAACTTATCATCATCCGGGATATCAACAGCATGCATATCCTTTCCATCCGCACATGTACCAGCAGCATCAACATCATGCCCATGCGCACTTGACTCACGCTACCTTTCATCACGATCCCAACTCTGCCGTTCCAATCGTTCCCATAGTCAAAGCCAAACGTAAGAGAGCCAATGCCAGTCAGCTAAAGGTATTAAATCAGGTATTTCAACATACCTTCTTCCCATCAACCGAACAGCGTATTCAACTCGGAAAGCAACTGGGAATGTCCCCGCGAACGGTGCAAATATGGTTCCAGAACAAGCGACAAAGTTGGCGAAGCAAGACTCGTGGTCCTTCCACGGGATCATCGATCGAGGATAATGATGAGGATGATGATGAGAACGACGGTCAAGCACAGAAAAGGCGTGCCGACGCGGAAGCAGGAAATGGTAACAAGTTGAGGAGACTGAGCAGCGCAAGTACAGGCGAAGATGCTGAAGATTGTTGTGACAGTGATGGGCGACTATCTGTACCTGATTCGCCGGCAGCCGAAGCATGCGATAGAGATAGAGATGGAAACGAGAGTGAGATGTCATCTGATGAGGATTCCGTGTCCAGTCAAAGTGGAAGCGCAAACGGAGGCGTACATTCTCATGACCAGCGAACGCAACAGCAGCAACTGAAGCAACAACAGCAGCAGCAGCAACTGAAACAGCAACGGCAACGGCAGCGGCAGCAGCATCAGCAACTGAAGCAGCAGCAACTGAAGCAACAACAGCAACGGCGGCAGCAGCAGCAGCAGCAGCAACTGAAACAGCAGCAGCTTCACTCTAGTTCTCCCCAGCGTTCTCCTCAGCGTTCTCCCCAGCGTTCTCCTCAGCGTTCTCCTCAGCGTTCTCCTCAGCGTTCTCCTCGGCTTTCCGAGTTCTCAGCTACATCGAAAAGTAATAATGCTCAAGATAGTGATGCTACTCCAGTCCTCAATAAGAGATTGCCTTCTATCACGGCTGCATTTGCTACTCATCATGCTTTGCCACCTATTTCCCGTCTTGCACATGCCCGCGCTGTTGGTAATGATTTATAGATCAGACCGTGAGAGACGTTTGCGAGTCATGAAAAATGCTAATGTTTATCTAAGTAACTTTACTGGATATTTTATATATTTCTCACTTCTTTGTCTCAGTATGAGTTTTTTGTAAATAGAAAAAAAATTTGGGGTTGTAGATTAGCATCTCAATCTATTCTGACTTTTGGGCTGGGGAAAAAAGAAAAAAGGTTTTGCGCGCGTTGCTCGCGTTGCGCGTGTTGCGTTGGAAAAAATTTTTTTTTTACTCATATCGGTTTTTCTTTTCCATTCTCGCCCATAAAACTGTCAATATTCTTTTTTCTTACTTTTTTTTTTTCCTCTCTTTCGTGCCGGTCTCGAAATTTCACTTTTTTGCATTTGTTCAACTTCCATTCCCATAATTCGTACTTATTTTTCTTCTTCTTTGTACATTCTGTGATATTATTACTTTGCGTTAAAAAAAAAAAGACGTATCTATCGAAATTACGTTATTATTTTTCTTCCTTACGATAACTTTTTTGTTTTCGTGTAGACGAACCTAATTCCATGTTATGATAGGAAATACCTTTGTAGCGAAGCCAACGTTACACAGTCTTTATCTGCGGTGCCAATTATAACTTTTTATATATAATTCGTAATGATCTAATTTGTTGGTAAATCATCCGTAGATATTTTCTGTATATGCTGTTATATATATATATAAACAAACTATATTCACCTTTTTTTTTTGCCCTTCCTGATTTTTTTTACTTCAATTTACCGTACACTATGACTTTTTTAAATTTCACATTCGAGTAAATGTAATAATCGAAATTACTCTACAAGGTTTTTCTCTACGCAAAAACTATAAATCCTGAAACGGATAATACGAATAAAAAAAAATTACCAAGCGGTAATTAAGAAGGGGGCTCTAACGATAGAATCTTTCTCCTTTGCAAATGTCATTTTGTGTGTTGTGTCTTTGTGTCTTTTGTGTGTGTGTTGTTGTGTCTTTCGTATTGGTGCGTCTTGTCGAAACGATTATCACGTGGTTTTTTTAATGGATCGATAAAAAATTTTGTATTGTATCCTGTTGCATTTTTGTGTATAACGTTGATCGCGATCACGATAATCAAAACGTTATAAATGTTGTTTGTCAGAAATGGATGACATACATACAAACCAGGTCGCATGGATCTTTCCCGTTACACATTTTCTGTGCAGCATTCCATAAACGATATCAATCGACAATTAATTTCTCCGATGTCAATTAATCACGTGCTAGATCATATACTAAATGGAAACGTCCACGGAAAAACACCCCCCCCCCCCAAAAAAAAACCTTGCATTTCTTGAAAATTACACGATCGGGACATATATTTGAACAATGACGCTTGCATTCAACGAAACATATTTTATCGAGTCCCTTGTGATGTCGATTTGTCAGTATGTTTGATTTCGATATATCGAACCAGTTTTTGTGCAATGGGAATTTTCTATTTAGAAGACATCTGGGAAAATGGTACCAGTACTAGTACGGGCCAATTAGGCGTTCAAGACTTTTTCAAGGTTACACGAAGGTGGTTGGAGAGAAATCTCGTATGTCTTCTAGTCACCTCTACTAATCCGACTTTCTTGTTCTCCTCGACTAGAGCGTGAATTTGTGTAGCGAATAGTGTTGCAATGCGTTGAATATGGTTAACCTTTGTATTTAAAATATACAACCACTGTCAAAGCGATCAGATCGATGGCTTACGATATACGCAGTGTGAGACAATTCACGCAGTGTTACACCTCGTATAAGTGTCAACCCGCGTTTCTAAAAGAACGCCTTGTGCAAACGCTGATACTGAGAATCAAGCTATCATTAATGTGTAGGGTAAAAAAAAAAAGAATAAATAGAAAACTCACCACGTTGGCGAAAGCGTATCTGACAATCGAGTCACCAGTTTAATATTTTTTAACAATAGTTTATTGTTAGGCTTGGATAAGGTGATTGGCGCAAGAAGCGTGTGTTACCGCACAATTGCTCCGAGTCAATCCCGTGTTCCCGATCGTGTGGACTTGCATGAAGCGTGAGAAATAAACATACTAGTGGAATATTCTGATGAAAATAAACAAATTAAAATATCCATTGTTCTTAGAGTATAATGATTATTCTCATATTTGTTCTTACTTCTCGTGTAATCGATGTGCCAAAATCTTAACATTTTGTTTATAGGGTTGATTTTTATGAAGCCCGACTATGCTTTTTCGTAGTTACCAAAGTGTCGGTCACCTACACAGACGTTGGTTGGCTGAGAATATGGAAAATAGAGTTTGAAATGTCGTCCCCACCCCTTAAGAAATCACGCCACTCTATGCAAATCGTAATTATCGCCTCGATCGAAAAGGTCACGCCACCGGGACTATAACAGCATGCTTTAAAAAGGACGTGATGCCATCCATACAGGTATTCTTTTCAGTACAAATGGACAAATCTTGGTGTGCTTATAGAGAGGGGTGATTATATAGAGGGATGACTATTATTGTGATAAAATGTTGTGATGCCTATAAGAAAAACATGTATTACAATAAGATATGTATGTACGTACTATTTCTACTTCACACGCACAATATCGCATGATCAGAAAGTATCGGATGTTGGTAGACTACGATCCACGATCGATGGGATCGTATGTTTATTGTCCACGTTCGTCGATCTTGCCAAATGGGTGTAATTCCAAAAACGTTAACAAATACCCGAAACTAAAGTAAAGTCGTATATGGGCTGATTACTTAAGCGTTAAGCCGTAGTGAGTTTAACAAAAGTATGCATAGTCCCGTCTTCAAAGCCATCAATCACACACTGCATTTGCATAAGGAGTAATGCAAATGTTATCAAATTAATACTAAAGTTAGCGCACGTTGTCGGTAACACATACAAAAATTACCATGAGCTAGCTTTTCTCTGCGAAAATCGTCAAAAGTAAGTAATAACCGTCACATTGATACAATTTTATTGTTTACAAAAATTGCAAGGTTAGCTCATAATATCGATATAATAAATTTTTATATAACATTCGTGTTTTAAAAAGACTAGTTTCAAGTTATGCGATCTAACTTTAAATTTATTTATCTAGAAAGAATGCGCTCTGCATTCAAGTCGCAAACTTACGTTTGAACTTTTTAGTAAAAAATGTCCGAGGGTAAATATTCAGTCACATGGAACGAGAAATTAAGGAAAAATTGGTCACCCAAAGTTAAAATTGCATAGCATCAAATAGCACAGCGACTCCTGCCTGTCGCACTGGGTAACGTTAATAGGACCGGGATTATTAAATCTATGTAAGACGCAATTTTTTATGCTGAAATTATGAAACAAATGTCTTGTAAAATGCCTTATAACAAAACATTAATGCACAGCTTGCTATGATCGTAACGCTCAATTTTTTAACTGAAAATAAAACGATACAATCAACTCTCTGTAAAATGGAACAGAGAAATCTGCATTTTATTGGGTTTTACGTGACTAAAATATAGTGTGTTTATTCAATTAAGAAATATATTCATATCTGTAACGCATCGTCACATGAGCGCGTAAAAAGGAAGATTAGCCGTAAGTTATTCCATTGATTAAAAGTTATTCAAACAATAAAAGTTATGAAAATATGCTTTACATAAATATTAGGCCAGTCATTAGTGCAATTGCATAAACGAATATGATCATTAATTGAAATCTACTTCTTTGCACGTTTGTGCCTCATAGCGAGTTCCTCGCGACAGAAATTGTTCCAACATCAGAGTATTTTATGATAAACGTGAGTGCCACTAAACCGTCTTTTTTTGTCCTTTTATTTCGTTCTGCTCACTTTTTAAATTTAGATCCTTACCCGAGCACCGAGTGAGTCAACAAATGCAACTTTTACATTTAATACCTATTGACTAGAATTATCGGCTGACACGTAGAATTTTCACAGAATGTACGAGTAACTATAAACAAACCAACTTTTTTATCAACTGTCTACACTTTTCTAAACAAAATGCCAAGAATATGTGAAGAATGGAAGTTGACGGTCTCTGAATTTTTGCGGATCGTATGGTGCCACAACATTTCCGAAGATCGTCGTCGGATGCGTTCATGGGCTATTACTATCAGTGTTAACGACCGGCGTATCATTGATGGTGTCATCTTGAATGGTTGCGCAGGACGACGGTATACAATTAATTGTAAAGTACCGAAGAGTGACACTGACAGCAAACAAGACGACGGAATGTGGCAGCGACGACAGCAAACATTGCCACAGTCCACAGCATGTCGCACGGATATCAGAATAATAATAGTAACGATAGATTAGTTCCCAATTAGTCAGAATTTTCTTCGGGGAACTCATTTGATTATTTCACCTCTTGAAGTTTTAAAATATGCCATTTCCTTTTTATCTCTAAATTATACGGAGGAGATCCAGCAACTGGAATAATTTCTAATTATCGAAAAAACCCCCCTCTTTATTAATTTAGCGATGCAATGCGATGCTAAATATAGATCAATTAGTAGACCGAAAAGCATATAAGCAGCGCAGAATTTACTTAGCATCAGTGTATTTGTTAGTGTTCGAGTTTGTCAGTGCTTAACATTAAATTTCTTTACATCGAAGACGTCCGATTTCCTTAAATCCTTATCAATAAACGAGTATCCGTTTACTCTGACATATTAATTCTTTTCCTGAATAATTTGTAAACCATTACTCCGTATAACAGCAAGATTAATCATAATACTTGTCCCGTGATTAATCGAGTGGCATTACGGTAATTAATTATGACATTCTCAACGCGTTATTTTCTTACTAAAGACCCCAACTATAGACTACCGAATTAATCCACCAGTAGAGAATAGTAATTTGTTTCTCGAGAATACTGTAGTTAATTATCGTATACGAATATGTCAGCATGTAAAGGTCTAATTAAAATGTCACTAACCGTTTGTTACGTTTTAGCTATCGCGGAGGTGAGCCACACTCCTAGACCTCAAACCGAGACAGTTGTTATCCGCTCTCCCGTGATTATTTCCTAAAGACATTGTCTATAAAAAAGACACTTTAAAGTTTTAATCATCTAGAGTAATTAAAAAGTTAATGAATATCGTAAACTATCAAGGTGGGTGTCAACGTCTTTGTACCGAGCTTACTTAGTATGTTAAATAATTCAAAGTTATGCTGTCACTAGAAACTATATAGTCATATTCTGAGACTAATAGTAGTGAGAATATGATTATGGGTTTCGAAATAATAACTTGAATTTAGTTCTGTTGTTGTGATGAAGAGAATTATTGTACTAATTGATTCTCTCCTTTCACAATCTTAACTCTAATTATGATAAAAGACATCAATTCGAAAAAGAAATTACAAAATTATTAAACGAGAACAACATTATCGCTTATCAAATGTTTGTCATGCAAGGTGATGGTGGAATCGACATACAATCGACATACAAACGTTATTTGATTTTTAATTCAGTGTGAAAACATTAAAAATGGTATAAATCTTGGGATGGTTCAGAAATGGAATCCGCTTGTTCTCGTTTTACGTTTATAATTAGGATAATCTAACCGGTAATCTAATAACAAGGCAAGCTAATTATTACTATTGAATAAATGCATCAAACTCTAATATCAAAGATAGTATTGACGATCAGAAAGTGGAAATGTTGTATTCTATAACTTTAATTCAGAACGTATGGAATTCAGAGAATTGTATTTACAAATATTAAAGCTAAAAAGCTTTCTATAAAGAGATTTAAACCATATTAATATTAATAAAACTTTTTTATTATTGACATTTTGTATGTACATGTTGTACCTCAGTTGGGAACCTTTCTCAGTTCTGAACTGAGACAACTGAGTTCTGGACTGAGACAGGTCCTGAACTCAGACACAACATATACAACCACATACACAAGACAATAATAAAGTGAATTTGGTAAACACCAATGTTATATCTTTCAACAATATCAAAAATGTTTTGATTAAAAAAAAAATGAAACAAGAGAAGGCTTATGTTTTAACATTAAAAGATAGAGGTAATAAAGAAAATGTTTGGATATGGGGCAGACTGCAACAAAACCAGACAAAGTGAACATTCTTAAATGGGGCATGCTGCAACAAAACCAGACAAAGTGAACATTTCATAAATGAGAGGCTGATTGTGATGTGGCTGTAAAATTGACCAGTGTGACTGATAACATTTTGAAAAGTCATAATGGTGCTTATGGACTTATTAATTTTAATGCTCACCTTATCATACCAGAATGTGAGGAATATAACCCATAACAGGAGTAATATAGGACTATCTCTATATAAAAAATATAATATGAAACTAATTTACATCAAATCTACTATGGAACCAAAAAATTATAGCACCATTAGAAGCATTCTAAAAAAAGAACAAGGTGAAAAAATTGCGCCTTACGTTTTTAAAATCAATGATACCCTAACTCTCCAGGCATATCTAGATCAAGAAAAAATTACTTATGAAATTTATCAAGAAGAGAGAAAAATAAGGACTCATAAACGAGCATTAACACCAATACATGATAAACCAAGAAAGAAAAGAAGACTGGCAGAATAAACAATCAAATCATTA